TAGGAAGGAAGCTGGTAAGCTCAGGAGTGCCCAGAGGATGATATGGGCCTTGAGTTCATGCCAAACGAGGATTGGTTTAAAGATTGTTTACCTGAGGATTCTCACTTCTGTGCCCTCTGTTTTCAGTACTTCTGGGAAATTTTATCATTTCCTGTGGTCTGGTGTTCAGGCTTTTTAATTCTTAGTGATTTTCTGGGAGGAGGAAAAAACCTATGATTCTTAGATTCTCTCCCCATGTTCTATCTGCTCAGTCAGTTACTTTGGCTTGTGTAGATCAAGTCATGTGTTTTTTCCGTTGTTGCCATTCTTTGCTTTTGTTTTTGCCAGATCTTCTATCACATCTGTCTTTTAAGTTCTTCTTCAGAGACTTTCCATTTTCAGAAAAACACTCTTATATTTTCTTCATTATCTACTCTCTTGTTTGTCTCAGTGATTTCTTCTTTGTGTACTTATTTCCACTCTAATTTCTTATTTTTCATAATTTTATGTGAGGCAGTTAAATGATAGAGTGTATAGAACACAAGATTTTGAAGTAAGAAAGACCTGAGTTCAAATCCTGCCTCAGACACTTATTAGCTGTATAACCCTGGGCAAGTCATTTAACCTCTCTCAGACTCTGATAAGTTTCCTTATCTGTAAAATGAGGGTAATAGTACCTACCTTACTGAGTTCTAGTGAGGACTAAGTGAGATAATATAAGCAAAGGGCTTTGAAAACCTTATAGTGCTGTACTAGTGCTCCCTCTCATTTTTCTATTGGACCCTACATCAGGTAATTATTGCTGTTCCAATATGTCTAGGAATCTTGCATAATTGATTGTCTTATTTTCTTTTTCATTGGTGGTTTTTGGTTTGCTTTCTATAATGGCATATAATTATTCATTGTATTGTGACCCTTTTTGGCTTGGTTGCTCATTTTCCCATCTATATTTCCGAGTCTCCCAGTTGACTTATCTGCTTGGGAGAATAGGCTTATGCGCAGCCTTTCTTGGTTGACTTTTGGGGTTATCAGCCTTCCTCTTTTATTCTGGTGCCCTGCATCAGGCCTGCTTACTGTTTGATCAAACCAAGAAAGGTAGTTTCTCCTGCTCAGGCCCCATGAGCTAGGTTTTCCTTCACTGGAGAAGAGACTGGATGCCCACTCAAGGTCTCTCTGAAAAATTTTCGTGTCAGTGGTGAGATGTAGTAGATGCTGACACAGGGCCATCTAGTGTGGTGTGCCCACATCAAAGAAGGCGCTGTGCTGTATGAGTGAAGCAGAATCACAGTAGCACAAAGGAAATGTGAGACGTACAAATCCAGAGACATCTCCATCCCAAATTTTCAAACGGACTATTTGTGCCTGATCTGTGGTAGAGCCTTCCGAAGTCATATTGGTCTGATCAGTCTCAGTCGGACGCACTGTACCTTGACCCCAACAGTGATATCATTAGTCCTCTTTGATTATGAAGGACGAACAATAACATTAACAACATGTCTTCCTTTAATTTGGTCACAGAAGCCTCTTCCCCTCTAGCTAGCTCAGCACTTTTGAGTCTTCTCTTCACCCCCAACAGTTTCCCTCCTTTTCTGTTAGAAACTGTGTACTTTCTATATTTTCCATCTGTTGGGGCATGGGGTGAGGAATAGAGACTTCAATGCTGTGAGGGAACAGGAGAGCAGCCACTGCAATGGAAACTTGAAATGCAAGGTTATTCTTGCTGGGTGCCTAGCCCCTAGAGAGGATGAGGAAGGTTAGGATGAGTGGGCACTTCATGCAGAGCCGCTGTTATTTCAGATGACCTTACATTGTGAGGTGGTGTTTTCTATGTGCTAGCCATCGTTTTAATGACTCAGTTTGGCACAATTTTTGCTGTTTTGAGGTTGGAGGTGAGGACATTGATGTTGCAAACAAGGGACCAAGGATGCTCCTCAGGTTGGCCATCTAGTCCAACTATGAGAGCAAAACTCTAATGCAATATAACCAACAAGTGGGCATCCAGTCTCTAATCCAGTGAGGGAAAACCTAGGCTAAGTCCTTCATTTTATAGGTGAGAAACTATGGTGCCAGGAGGGTGTGACTTGTTTAAGGACACATCATGGTACAGACTGGATTCAAACCCAGATCTTCTGACTTCCAATGCAGTACTCTTTCCACCTGTTCTAGACCAGGGCTGACTCTGGACAGTACAAGAATTCTGGTTTGGGATTGGACCAAAATGAGACACTTGTGGGCCAACTGGCAGTTAACAAAAGGTTCCATGCTCATAATAGCATGGAAAGGATAGCCAGCAAGGATCCAGCATCTGGTGCAGTTAGGGGAAACTCCCCTCCTCCATCTGCCATGGCCAGGGGGTCAGCAGTGCCATATTAAGCATAAGGAGCCCACAACTCCTCCCTTGTTATCTTTTGTACTTCAGTGACCAGGAAGCTATGTCAGTGGTTTGACCCTCAGTCACCTAGACCAATTAAGTCCTGAGGATGGTTTACATTGCTTTTTAGGGGAAAAGTAGCTTAGTCTGCATGGGGTAGATGTCACTCCTCTGACACTACCTCCAACATGCAGTGACAGATATGCGACAGTCAGAAGCCTGGAGGTGAAGGCATACAAATCACTATGGGAGAATAGCTATTGGTCCAATTTATCTGCAACAATAATGAAAGAGATTTAATGTAAAACAAAGCTGGACAAGTAGGTTGGGGGGGGTGCTGATTGTGGAGGGCCTTAAGTGTCAGGCTAAGGAATTCTTAGATAGTCTATACGATAAAATATATTCAGTATCTTATGGAACCCTTGAGGTTTCTGATGATGCTTGGTAAATATCCTTTGTTGAATTAGAAATGTTAGAATAAGCAGAGAGGTTTAGCCTTCTGGACCCTTAAGCCTAGAGTGGGTCAAGGAGCAAGGAGACAGATTTGTCCTAGTAATAGCTATCGTCTGCCTAGTTTTGTTTTTTTTTAAGTTGGTGTTAAATACACGCTTTTCTTCCAGCTTTTTTTTTCCATCCACCTGTGGTTATCTTCACTAATGGACTGACCTATTCCATTTTGTTAGTTTGCTAGACTTTTGTTGGCTTTTAAAAATTACTTTATTTTTAGAAGTATTTATTATTTCTCCCTACTGCCTCCCCAAATTGAATAATAAAAAAGTGAAAAATCAGCCTCGTAACACATATGCATAGTACAGCAAAATAAATTCCCAATGCTTGGCACAGTGCCTGGCAAATAGTAGGTGCTTAATAAAAGGGATTTGACTGCATTGATTGATCGACCATGTCCAAAAATGTATGTTTCGTTCTATATTTTAAATCCACTCCTTCTCTAGCAGGAGGTGGGCAGCATGTGTCATCTTCAGTCCCCTGGATTACTGATTTAGTCACTTAATCAGAGTTCTTAAGACCTTTAAAGTTGTTTTTCTTTATAGTGTTACCATTGTCTACATTGTTCTCCTAGTTTTGCTCACTTCACCCTGCCTGGGTCATAGAGGCCTTCCTTGCTGGTTGCCTTTGAATTTGTACATTTCATTATTTCTTATCACACACTAATGTTCCATTACATTTGTATAACATAATTTGTTTAGTCATTCCCCTATAAGTGGGCAATGCTGCTTTGGCTACTGTGAAAAAGAACTACTATAAAATCCTTTTGCAGACGTGGATCCATTTCCTCTTTCTTTGATCTCTTTGGGTTATAGACTTGAGTGGTACAGCTGAAACAAAGGGATTATGCATAGCCTACTGACTTCTTGGTTATAGTTCCAAATTGCTTTCTACAATGGCTGAACCAATTCAGGCTCCATCAACAATGCATTAGCTTGCCTGTTTTTGTAATCTTATTCGTCATCTTTGACATCCAAAGGGTGTGAGTAAGGCAGAACTTCTGAGTTGCCTTCATTTGCATTTCTTTAATTCTTAGTGATCTGAAGCATTTTTTCTTATGGTTGTTAATAGCTTAGATTTCTTCCTTTGAATACGACCTATTTATAGCCTTTGACCATATGGGGAATAATGACACTTTAGACTGACTGCTTCCTTTGGGGAGTATTTAGAGAGGTATGAAAATTGGTCCATCTTGAAAATAAATATAGATTTACCCATAGATTGGATTTAGGGGCATTTTTTTCTTACTGTGAATAATTTGGATATGTAAAACTTGATGTATTTACGTTGTGAGTTCATACAGCAGCCTTATTATATACTATAAGCTACATACAGCTTTAAATAACTTAGACTTGTATATTATTTAATGCATGTACTATCTATACATAAGCATATATGCTACTAAATATATGCTTATGTATAACATAAGAGAACCTTGTATACTGTTTCTGCTTTTTTCCAGTCCTGAAATTCCTAGGTCTTTGAATGGAGCATTAGTAGAATGTGAATTTCTACCTCATAATGGATTGGTTTGTACCATCAAGGCAGTATGCGATTTTCGTTTGTCCTCAATCAAGCTTTATATATCCTATAAGGCAAAAAAGCCTAATGGGATTTCCTCCAAATAGGACATTTGAGCGTCACTGTTATATCTTGGGTCTCAGTTCAGACTCTCTCCAATGCTCTTCGGTTCTGTGTAGTAATGAGTGACTTAGTGATGTTTGTAGTCCCTATGTGAGTGCATAAGGTAAAATGGTCTGTTCTGTCCACTCCGATAACCTGTGTTGTTTCCTTGTGTCCTAAAATGATTGACCATCTTGCTATAGCTTTCTAGGGGTATGGTTGATTACACACCATATGAATATAGGGTGTCCCAAAAGTTTTAGTGCTGGGTTAAGCTTTAATAACTTGAAGTCTGTATAATAGCAAAAAGTCCTTAGTAGCCAAAGCCTTAGGGCGGGGTTAAGCCATTTGAGCTGAACCCTGCCCTAAGACTTTTGGGACATGCTGCATTAACTTCCTTTTCTGCAATCTTAACATTGTCAGGATGCTTTGTTTTCTTCTTGAAAGGGGTCCTGTACAACCGGATTTCCATGTGAACATCTTATCAAGCAAAACTGTCCTGTTTTTCTTCCTTTTACAGGTGCAGGAGACATTGTCTCAATCATGATAGGCAATCTGAAAGGCACCAAAATTTTGCAGTCTATTCAAAGAGGCATCCAAGTCACCATGGTCATTGAAGTAGGGAAAAAACACGGCCCCTGGATGAATCATTATTCGATCTTCTTTGTCTCTGTGTCCTTCTTCATTGTGACGGCTGCAACGGTGGGCTACTTTATCTTCTATTCGGCTCGAAGACTAAGGAATGCCAGGGCTCAAAACCGGAAACAGGTTTGTAATGGTCCTTTGCTGAGTCTTTTTTATTCCACTGGGCTGTTTACCAGTAGTTTGAATGTTGCCTATTTCAATGTACTTGTGAGCTCTGCTGTGTACCTCGGCAGTTCATAAAGTGATCTCTGGGTTGAATAATACCAACACCATGCATTCCCATTGCCTCCTAAATTTTGCAAGACAGTCCTGTGATGTAGGGGTGTATTATGATTCCCACTTTACAGGTGAGGAAGCTGGGCTTCTCCAAGCTGTAGTAACTCCCCAGCATCACATAGCTATAAAGAGTTCGAGTAGGATTTGAACTCAGGTCCCCTGTCTCGAAATTCAGAGCTCTATCTGCTAATCTCTCTCATTCTATGTCAAGTAGTACCTTTAAGCACATCAATTTCCATCCTCTTCTCCTGAAATCTTCCTCCTTTTGTAAGTTGTGGAGGAAATTAATCCTTGACCAAATCCTCTAAGGCTTCATTTAGAGAGTGTAGTTAGTACTCTTTCCAACATAGCAAAGTGAATAGAGAGGAGCTGTATTCACTGTGCCCAGAGGCAGGCAGGCCCATGCTTATTAAAGTTGTGCCTCAAACACTTATTAACTAGGTGATCATTGGTAAGTTACTTAAGCTCTAAGAGGTCCACCTTCCCCATCCATAAAATTGAAATAATAATAGTAATGATTACTGTGTGACCATGAGCAAGTCACCTAACTTCTCTGTGCCCTAGGCAACTTTCCTAAGTTAGGGAGTGGCTGCTGTGGTTGAGGGAATTTTCTCTCATTGGCTGCTGCCTGCCTATCCTAATGAAATCACAGATCTAGTTTAAAAAAAAAAAGCGCTTGGGGGGATATGTGGGTGGATTATTGATTTGCAAATTATTCAAAACATTGTGAGTCTTTCTCATTTCACATTTATTCCCCTTGCCACCCTCTTAGGTCCCAAGCTATACCGGAGTGTGGGTGGAAATGTGACTGTTAGAGCAAGGACTCCCAACTGATTGTGTGACTGCATTCCAAAGACGAATCGAAATCATCTGAGGGACACCTTTTCAATTATATTTTGTAAAGTGTCATGCTGTACAGTTATCGTTCCAGGAAGATAGGATCATTTTTGGCCAGGATGGTAATAGACAGAAATAGTGCTGGAAGGGCTGTGGGAAGGCAAGCGTGCTAATGAGATACAGCAGAGCTTTGAATTGGGCCAATGGTGGGGGATGACCTTTTGGAATTGGGTGAAGAAAGTCAATGACCTGTGACCCAGCATGAACCCCAAGGAGGTCAAAGACAGGAGAGGCCCCAAATGTGCCAAAATATCCATAAGCAACACTTGTTCTGGTAGCAAAAAGAGTTCCGTTTTGACCCTATAATTAACTAGTGACGTGTGCCACTAGCTGCTTTTCTTCAATCCTTTTCTTCCTTGTCCCTACAAAATTTGCCAAACTCAAACCCTGAACTACTCCCACCATCTGCCTCCACTTCTATTAAAGTATTGTCTAGCGTTAATCAAAGAAGTCATGTAGCCTTGGTGACTGGGTCCACTCCAAATGAGCAGATCTTAATTGGGCCCTCACTGCAGCAAAACAATCCTTTTTCTCCTTCCTAATTAATTAATTCTCAATCAGATTCCCCATAACAGCTGTTTCAAACCTTCTCTTCTCTCCTCAAACCTGTGACAGCAGCCCTTTCTCCACCCACTCAGCCAGAGGACCTCGACTCATACTTTGCTGACGAAATAGAGGCCATTTCCTGCCTGCCCCCCCCCCCCCCCGCCCCCACCAGCTCTTGCTCTCCCTCAGCCCACATATCCATTCAATTAATTCCCAAGTGTTTCTTGTTGAAACTCTTTCTACTACATCTTTTATTCTATCCCCTCCATTTCACTCATATAGCCAGTTCAAGCCCTTATCACTTCCTGCCCGTATCATTGGCAACCAGCCTCCTTCCTAATTGGTTTCCTGTCTCAAGTGTCCCCTGACTCCCAATTCATTTTCCACACAGCTACCAAACTAATATTTCTGAAGCTCAGGTCTGACCATGTCACTCCCTTGCTCAATGACCTTCACTGGCTCCCTGCTAGCTCCAGGATCAAATACCAGTTTATTTCTCTGTTTAGCATTTAAAGTCCTTCACAGTCTGGTTCTAACTTACCTTTCCAGACCCGTTATGTATCACTCCCCTTCACGCTCCCTCTAAGCCAGCCAAACTGGCTGCCTTGCTGTTCGTCATACGTTCGGTCTCCCACCTCCTTACCTTTGTACAGTCTGGCCCCCATGCCTGGAATTCACTCTCTTCTCACTTCTGTCTCTTAGAATCCCTAATTTCCTTCAACGCACAGATCAATCACTACCCCCTAAATGAAGCTTTTCCTGATTTCCCTCTCCTGGGTCCGTATCCCAACCAAAATCACCTCATGTTTATATGTTGTATACAATTATGTATGTACATGTTCTCTCCTCCCTCTTGAATGTAAGTTCCTTGAAGACAGAGACTATTTGTTTTTTGTCTCTGTATCCCCATGACCTAGCTCAGGGCTTGGCACATAGTAGCCACTGAAGAAATGCTTATTGATGGATTGAGGACCCACATCAGTATGATAACAGATCTATTGAATTATGCAAAGATGAGAGCTAGATAATTAACAAATTGATCTGACTTTGTCAAGGGTTATTGATGCTTGTGAAGTATTGGGGCACCCTTAAGCTGGTGCCTTAGAACTGTGGTTTTTGTTGTTGCTTTTTTCATTTTTGTTACAATATCAGCAGAAGTAGTCATGGCCCTGTTTTGTAGATGAGGAAACTGATGCCGTAAAAGAGAGGTAAGTTTCCGATTTGGGGTTTGATGGACCATCATCATCATTGACCACCATCAACATTACTAAGAGCCTAATTAGATGTGCTTGAGGTGGTGCCAGAGAGGCACTGGGTGTATGTTGGGCAGAGAAGTAATAGAAGAAAAGCCCTGTGCCAAGACCAAAATGGATAAGAAAGGGTCTTCATTATGGCTGAGCATCCATCGCCTGGCTGATGTCCATCAGACATTAACAAAGATGTAGATTGTGCTTATTTGGAACTTCTCGATTTAATGATTTTATTAAATGGTAGCTTAATATTTCATGGGCTGTTAGCACGTCTAAATGATGTGTGTTTAAGCTGAGAAGAGGGATCCTGAGTATTTACTCTCTTGTTCCCTGGGAAAATTGTTAGCACAAGCATTAGAACAGACACCGTGTACTCCTTTACTGATAAATGTGACCTCTTGGGCATACTCATACATTGGAGCTTTGAATTTCCACCCATATTAAAAAATTGGCAACAGGTAATTGGTTATAATAATGATGAGCAGATAGAGAGGATTCCTTCCCTCTTAAATGTACTCTGCTTCTGACCCCTTAGATCTAACCCTAACCTGGGGGTCCATGGATTTGTTTTTTTTAATGATTTTTTTTTCTTCTGTTAAGTTTTGTTTCCTGTTTCTGGTGGTTCCTCCTAATGGTTCTAATTCTTTTTAAAAAAATTTAATTTATTTTTTATTTTTTTTTAATGGTTCTAATTCTTACAACATCAGTAATGTGAAAATATGTTTAATAGGAATATATATGTATAGCCTGTATCAGATTGTGCGCCATCTTGGGAAGGGTGGTGGGGAGGAAGGAGGAGAAAAATTTAAAACTCAAAAGCATATGGAAGTGATTGTTGATAAATCAAAATAAATTAATTAAAAAAAAAGTCACCAAGAAAAAAAAAAAAAGATTTGAGAATTGTCTTTCAATATAGCTGGTTTCCTCTGTAACCCGCTGTATTTTATCTTATGAATTTCAAAACACAATTCTGAGAAGGGGTCCTCATGCTTTTCCAGACTGCCAAAGGGGAAGGGGTATCCACAACACAAAAAAAGGTTGAGAATCTCTAGGCCACGTCAGCCCCTGTCTGTGACAGAACCAGTTCCCCAGCACAACCAGTTTAGATGTGGCAGAGACAAATCTCTCTCTGTCTTTAAAGCCGAGCACATAAAATCTGGAAGTTGATGCAGGCAAACTTTATTTTCCCTAGTCAAATCATGGAGGCCAGCAGCTCTTGTTTAACCCCCTAAAGGTAACATCAGGTGTTTGGCTAATATTCGAAACAGTTTTCTTTCCTACATTATTTCAAAGCTCTTAAAGGACCACTTATGGCAATGGTTCCCATTTAGTGGTTCAGGAGCTTGTAGGGGTTCACAATGGTGGTCCAAAAGGTTCACGCTAAAAATTCTGAAATGGCTGCTTAAGTAGTAAATAATTGCAGAATATTATGTGTAGTATATTAAATTTCTCCAGGGGTTCACAATACATTTTTTGGGGTTGTTTTTTGAAAAGGATTTACAGAACAAAAAAACATTGGTAAGTAGGAATTCATGGCATAGGGGAATAAATTTGGAATTTGAAGTTAAGATTTGGAGTCAGATCCTAGCTCTGCTAGCTGATACCTGTGAGACCTTGTCACTTCTCCTTGCTGGGCCTCAGTTTCCTCATCTGGAAAACAAAGGGGTTGGATTATATCGGAGTCTTTTTTTGTGTCGTGGAACCCTTTGTGTGGGCTAGCGAAACCTATAGGCCCCTTTTTAGAATCATGCCTTATTACCTACATTCATAATTGAAAGAAATTCTGACTTTCTGTTAGAAGTAGTGAAAGTAAAGATGCCATTCTTCCCCTTCACCAATCAAAGTTCACAGCTTACATCCTGAATTCTGTCCCTTTGGGATGTGTAGACCCCAGTTTAAGAACTTTTGGACTAGATGATCTCCAAGGTCCATTCTAGCACTAATAGTCTGTAACTCCGATCTTACATGGTCATTGTTTTAAAGGAGAAAACATCTTTCTTGGTTAGAGTGTCCAGAAAAGGGCCTCCATTCTGTGCCACATGAGAATAGGTTAAAAGAACCAGGGATGTTTAGACCAGAGAAGAGAAGGCTTGGGTTGCATTTTAGCTGCCTTCAGTTGCCAGAAGAGCTGTTATATGGAAGAAGGATCAGTTT